ACCAAAAATTGGTTCTTTGAAAAGATTCCCAAAGTTGAAAAACTCCTAGCTAGACTGATCTAAAAAACAAAACAAAACAAAACAAAACAGAAAGGGCCGGCCCGGTGGCGCACTGGAGAGTGCAATCCCGCCGAGGGTTCGGATCCCATGTGGAGACCAGTTCCGGCTCACTGGCTGAGCGTGGTGCGGGCGCAACACTGAGGGTTGCAATCCCGTTGCCGGTCCCCGGTACGGGCGCGACACCAAGGGTTGCGATCCCATTACGGGTCAGTAAAAAAGACAAAAAGGAAAAAAAAAAAAAAACAGAAAGAGAACACAAACACAAAACAACAATACCAAAAAATGAAAAATGGGGTTCAGATCCCCATACAGGCCAGCTACAAAAAGGTTATCAGTATTGGGTCTAAAGACATTAAAAGGGTACTAAGTGAATATTATGTACATTATTCTGACAAATTAGATAACTTTGACAAATAGACAAATACCTCAAAAGTCACAAAGTATCTGAGCCCACTCACTAAGAAAAGATAACCTGAATAATCCTTTATCTATTAAGAAAATTAAATTTGTAATTATAAGCCTTCCTACAAAGAGAAATCTACAGGCAGACATGGCTTCACTAGGAATTCTATTAAAAATTTAAAGAAAAACCAATACAAATAAGTTTTATTTTTAAAAATTTTTGGCAGCAGGCCAGTACAGGGATCGAACTCTGGACTTTGGTGTTATTAGCACCATGAAAACAATATAAATTCTACATGATCTTCCAAACTCATTTAGTGAGGCCAGTATTAACTTGATACCAAAACCAGATAAAGACAAGAAAACTATGTGCCAATATCTCTTATGAATATATATGTTTTACTTAACAAAAATTAAGTAAAACAAATCTAGGAATACATTAAAAAGGTATCATGACTGAGGTTGGTTTAATAACCAAATATAAATTATTGTAATGTATTTTAGTAACAGAATAAAGGAGTAGGGGCCGAGCCCGTGGCGCACTCAGGAGGGTGCGGCGCTGGGAGTGTGGCAGCGCTCCCGCCGTGGGTTCGGATCCTATATAGGGATGACCGGTGCACTCACAGCGCTCACTGGCTGAGCGCGGTGCGGCCGGTCTCAAAAAAAAAGGACAAAAAAAAGAATAAAGGAGTAGAACCATATGACTATTTCGATAGATGCAGAAAAAGTTATTTGATGAAACCCAATACCATTTATAATTTTAAAAGTCTCAGCAAATGAGGAATAAAACTTTTTAATCTGATAAAAATCACCTATGGAAAACCTATAGGCAAACATCATTCTATCATTAATTATAGCTAACTTATACTTAAAATTGTAAAATACTGAGTGCTTTCCCCCAGGTAAGGAATAAGTCAGTGAGGTCCACTCTTATTAGTTCTATTCAGCCCTGTACTAGAAGTCCTGGCCAGTGAAACAAGGCATGGAAAACAGGCATAGAGATCAGAAAGGAAGAAATAAAACTTTCTTTATTTGCATAAGATACGATAGTTTCTATAGAAAATATTATAGCTGGGTGAGGTTTTCCACTATGGGAACACATGAAACAGGAAAAGAAGAGAACATCTTGGGGAATGCCTTAATTTGAAGGATGGGTAGAGATAACAACTACCAAAGAAAACTGAGAAAGGAGATCAGATTATATTTCATATGCTCTTTGCAAAGCAGAGAAGTGTGTTATATATTTTTAAAGATTTTTTTAAAATAGCTAAGACCATAAAAATATTGTAACCTCAGCAATCTGGAATATTCCCTTATATAGAACATCAAACCCACACAATAAGGGAGAAATGAAGCACTGCCATATATAAATTTAGCGATACAATCACTATCTGCACAAGACAATCTCAGTGAAAATTGAATCAGAATTACTGGGCCAAGGTGTTTAAATGCCACTTATGGCAATGGTGGTAAAATGACTCCAAATGTATATGCCACATTCATTATGCCATTCATGATGTATTTAAACAATGCTTATAATATGTAATGCTGAACCTCAATCCTTTTAACTTTATTTTGGATAAAATCTCAACAAAGTAGAGAAGAAAAGACTACTGTATGTTTTTATTTATATTTTTTAGTAAGTAAAATTTATATTAAATATCTCCTTTATCATAATATAAGCATACAGATTTTTGGTTCTTGGGCTGCAGTCATTTGTGCATCATAACATTTGATCCTCAATTCAGAGTACTTCAAGCAAAGTCAAAACTGTTTCATTGAATCTGTTAACAGGAGCAATTTAGTCTTTAACTAGCAGGGCCACTGCAAAAGGCCTTGAAACTTATTGTTAGTCTTCTCTTCCCTAATTCTCAAGGGCAAAATTGGCAATGCCTCAGAAAACTGCAGCACCCACTTGTCTTGGTGAACAAACTTCAGAGTGAGGGCTGTAGCCCAAGATCAGGGCAATTTTCCCAGCCCAAAGTGACTAATACTAAGAATAATCATTGTTGTGTGTTACAAATACAGAACAAATGAATCTACCATACAATGAATTATAGCCTCTGAGGAATTTCTATTTTTAACTTTTTCAGGTGATTTTAATCATCAGGCAAATGAAGGCACTTCGTCTTGACCTATAGAATGGTCTTTTTCAAAGTATGGGTGTGACCATTAGGGGTTAAAAAACCAACTTAGTGGATCACTATCAGAGTGTTTTTAAAAGCAACAGATTAGCATAGAAAATATCACACAAAATAAGGAAAAGTATTGCTTTGTGATAATTTTATGTTAATTATAGAAATGTGTACAGATACACATACTATATATGCAATTATATATGTATATATATTTATAAATGCTTACATACTGTGCATGAAGTCTCAAAGTAAAATGTATTTCTTATTTTGGGTAGTGATCAAAAAAGGTTTGAGAGCTACTTCTAGAAGATAGTCAAAAAATGTAGAATTATAGAAAATACTATCTGTTCTCTGCCTGGAATCAAGAATGCTAAGAACTTTAGGTTTGTCATGTTGTCCCAAATTTATGGTATTTTTATGATCATCAATAAATTTCACAGTTCTTACTAAACACAATTATTTAATTATGGCAGTTTTCACAACATTTAATCACAATGAGATGGGCACATTGGGGAAAAGAAAAGGATGCACAGAAAACATCCATACTTCTACTATGCTGGAAGAAAACCGACTGTCTCCTCTTACCCTTAATGAACGAAATCCATTCATATATAAATTTAGTATCCTTATGTTTCGGTGCCTGTTAAATCCCCATCCATGTAACCTATGGACAGTATTTGACCTCAGAAGTTCTCTGCTCCTTGAGGATTTGTGACGTCGTACTCTCTCAATTTTCTCCCATCCTCTCTGACTGTTCTTTCCTTGTGTCCTCTTTACTCTCTAAATATAAGTATTCCACTTTGGGGTTTACTCATAGACCTTCATCTCTCTCTCTCTCTTTGTTTTTAACTCTCCCTTAGTGATCTGAATCCATTCTGATAGTTGACATTTATTACCTTTGTGTAGGTATATTGTACCATTTTATAGAGGCAGAAATTAAAGCAAGAAAGAGTTTATTAACTTGCCTGAGGTCATACAGTTGGTTAAATAGCTGAGATGGGTTCATATACAGGGAGTCTGTCTCCAGAGTCTATGCTATATGGCCTTAGTTACTTACTTACTTACTTAGTAAGTAATAAATAAATATTCAGAAAATGAAGGAATGAATAAATGATGATGGCAAGGTGTAGTAGACATGTCTCCTATGAGCCAGTGAGTTCTGGGTTTACTAGCTACATAACCTTAAGCAAGTTATTATTTCTAAGATGTTTAAAATGGGAATAATGGGCCGGCCTGGTGGCGCACTGGATAGTGCGCCGCTTGGGAAGCGCGGTGGCGCTCCCGCCCAAGGGTTCGGATCCCACATACAGACCGGTTCCCGTTCACTGGCTGAGCGAGGCGCGGGGGCAACACCGAGGGTTGCAATCCCATTGCCGGTCCCCGGTCCGGTACGGGGGCAACACTGAGGGTTGCGATCCGTTGCCGGACACGGAAAAAGACAAAAATAAAATAAAATAAAATAAAATAAAATGGGAATAATGATGCATAACTTGAAGGGTTGCTGTAATATTTCAAAATGTGCCTGTGTATGTGCCTGGCAAGTAGCAGGTCCTACATAAAGTCTATCTATTACTGTATAAAAATGAACAATTTGTTTGTTTCTTAAAGAGTTAACTACTGTCAACTATATATGGCTCTGAATCTCATACCATTATATTTTATTAAACTTCCTGAATATTGAAAAGGGATAAATTTATGTCAGTATACAAAAATGGGAATATATCCAGTTTTATACCTTAGAGTTACACTTTAAAGTAAGGTTTCTCAGGGCTGGCCAGTTAGCTCAGTTGGTTAAAGCATGGTGCTGATAACACTAAGGTCAGGGTTTTGGATACCCCTATCAGCTAGCTGCCAAAAAAAAAGAAAAGAAAAGAAAAGAAAATATTTATAAAAAAAACAACAATAAGTAGGGGTTTTCAACTTTGGAATTACAAACATTTTGGGGGCTGGATAATTCTTTGCTGTGGGGGTGCTGTCCTATGCATTTCAGGATGTTTAGTGGCATCCTCAGGCTCCACTCATTAGATGCCAGTAGCACCCCCATCCCTAGTCATGATACTCCAAAATATTTCCAGATGTTGTCAAATGTCCCCTGATGGAGAACCAGTGCATTACTGGGAAAATAATAGGCTACAGCACCCTAAAGTACAGTAAATACTTGTAAAACTCACTTCTGTGTATACAATTATCCGTAAGTAGAACACAATCTGTAGACACCAAAAGGGCCTATTTTTAAAATCTAGAAAATACAAACACACTTTTATCCTCTCAACATGCTACTTTTGTATATACACAGGATTCTGAATTATTTTTAAGATGTGATATCTCCCACTTAGCCAAACAAATAATTCTAAAACCACTTTGAGCTACAGAGTCAAAGAGTAAATTAAGTTCTTTTACCTTTAGGGCTGAAATTATAGTTTGCTCAGCTGCTGGTGGGAATGAGCTCTGACTGGAAACCACCTAGAACAAGGTTTTGATCCAGTTATAGCTTTGCTTAAGTCTATTTTTTAAAACACTAATTTTGATCAAAACATGATAAAGCTGTTTCCACAAGCTACATATAAAATATTATCATTACTTTATAGTAATATCTTATATGTGATTTAAAAATTCATTAGCATTCATTAAGTTAAAAATACTTTCATGTATAAAGCAAATATATACTTCAAATAACTGAAACATTAAGAATCCTAAGAGCTAATTTTCCTCTTCATTTTACGTAAGTTTTAATTATAAAGTTTTATCTTGAAAAGGTCAGTCAGTATAAAATCATATTTACTCTTTTAAAAACTCTGATTTTCTTTAGGCTGACTCTAATTTTCAACGTCTTTAAAAATATAAATAAATGTCAGACATTTCCATTTTTACAAATCAATGCAAACATCATGAAAATTTTGAAAATATCAATAAAGACACTTAAATCAGGCTAAATAGAATACAAACTTTCATTGCTTGTGCTATTTTAGAGTAATGATTAAAGAAAATAGGAACTACATCACTTAGTATTTTTGATCATTTTACTTTTCTGAGATTTACCTATTAATAAATCCTTTAAAAAATATTTTGTTTAGTGCATGAAATACATATTTTTAGAAACCCCTAATTGATAAAAGGACTTGTTAAAAGTTTTAAACAAATGAATATGGTCATTTATTATGATTTTAAAATACAATCTAACATATTAAAGCTCATATTAGAGGTGAAGTTTTCAAGAACATCATCCAACCTTTAGCTTCCTTCAGGTCTTTTAAATAGTTATATTCCAACTTACTAAATATTTTTAAAATGATCTATGGAGAATAATTAAACACGAACTACTCAAAAGTCATAGATGGAGTTGAAGGTATTGCTTTCCTAGTAATTAAGAATACAGTTCACCTTAGACATAATATATGGAGGCAAATAAGTTAAAGTTCAACCATTTCTCTTAAATGCGTGAGTAGCAAAATAGCAAAAAGAAAAGAATATATTAGAGGGTATTTTAAAAAGTTTCTGGAAAAATGGAATTAGAAGATAATACAAATACTTCCATGAACTTTTTGAAATACCTTCATTTTGTCTACTTACAATTAATCATCAGTGATTATATCATAAAAACTCACTGTTTTTAATACAGCTCCTCCCCACCTTGTTTGTACAAAGATAGAAACTTTTTGACATGTTGAAAGGCTTAAGGGTTCTTATTCTGTCATTAGCTTTGTTATAGTTTACTATTACACATATGAAACCAAATTATGCTTTACAATAAGTATGAGACATATGATTTACCCTTAAATAATTTGTTCAATAAACTTGATTAACTTGAAGACCTATAGTTCATGTGTTTTAAACTAAATGTATAGACAAAAAGTTACACAAATAATACAGGCTTTGATCAAAGACTGTTTAAAAAGAGTTAACTTATTTTACAATCATCACATTTTCATTGTATTCTTTTCCAAAAAACTAAATAATAATGTGTAAATTATCCAAATTTGATCTATGGCCATACCACCCTGAAAAAAAGATAAATTTGAGGCAAGAAGAAAGAAAAACTTGAAATTAAGTCAAATAAACTTAATAAAAATAAAAATTAAAATGAAGGTTACCTTTGTAACTGATTGGTGCAACTTATACAGTGAATTCACTACTGCCACATTTCTCCTCTGTCCTTCAGTAAGAGGCCCAATCACCTGACTTGCATCTCCTTGTGTGGAGAGCTGTAAGAATTCAACACAAAAAGAAATCACCAAAATGACAGTCTATATGTGTGTGTGTGTGTGTGTGTGTGTGTGTGTGTGTGTGTGTGTGTGTGTACACACACATATCTATATCTATATATACCTTTAAGTGGGGAGAAGTTCATGCCCCTCTGACAAAGACAATGTTAAATGAAAATATTCTGCTCAGGTTCAAGCTTTGGACTTTAGGCACAGTAAGGAATCTTTGTAAAGATAACACCATGGATGTAGGAGCCCATTAATCTCACACAGGAAGAACATCATTGATAATATTTCATAGCTGATAGACGCGAGGCAGGTGTGACCCAAATCCCAGTGTGTGATGTTATTTTGATACACCAGCATAGTAATCCTGAAGAGTACGTTCTGGCAACTGCCAATAGGTTTCTTTCTATTCAAAAATTCAGAAATAAGCCATCAAAAAAAGGTAGGAAAAGAGGGAAGAAGGAATAATGGGAGGGAGAAATAAAAATAAACCTAAATCCTATGTATATTTGATGACTGTCCTAATACTCAAATGAAATGGATGGTGCAATGAGAGTATTATTCTTATTTTTCATAGATTAAAAAAAAAGATGGCCAAGATTATACTGTGTATGGATGATCAGTAGAAGAGGTATTAAAAACTTTCTACTCTTGACCTTTAATTTACTTCTAAATGCATGATTTTTAGGAAAAAGGACATGGAATACTTTATTGAGTTAATCTATAACTGTTGCAGTTCAGTTCTTTAAAAAATTACACATATCTTGTAACACAAATGTCAAGGATTCAGATCACCGTACCAGCCAGCTGCCAATAAATAAATAAATAAATAAATAAATAAATAAATAAATAAATAAATAAATAAATAAATAAATAAATAAATAAATAAATAAATAAATAAATAAATAAATAAATAAATAAATAAATAAATAAATAAATAAATAAATAAATAAATAAATAAATAAATAAATAAATAAATAAATAAATAAATAAATAAATAAATAAATAAATAAATAAATAAATAAATAAATAAATAAATAAATAAATAAATAAATAAATAAATAAATAAATAAATAAATAAATAAATAAATAAATAAATAAATAAATAAATAAATAAATAAATAAATAAATAAATAAATAAATAAATAAATAAATAAATAAATAAATAAATAAATAAATAAATAAATAAATAAATAAATAAATAAATAAATAAATAAATAAATAAATAAATAAATAAAAATACACATGTCAACCACTCTCATATTAATCAGATTTTAATTCAATCTTCTATAGCAATTGTTATTTAAAGGTAAATTAAACTTGGTTAGAACATAGAAAACATGATGTAACTCACTCTATGACTGTGTACACATCTCAAACATTCGAAAATTGGCCTTTTAAGAGAAATGAAACTAAAAGCATCTTCCACTTGTTAGAGTGAGCCAAACAAAATGTACGAAAAGGAAAATACAAGGGGGTCTTCAAAAAATTCATGGAAAATTTGTATTATCTTTTATTTCTCTTTTTCCACAAACTTTTCTTTTGTTTTTGTTTTTTGGCTTCTGGCTTGTACAGGGACTGAACCCAGCACCATCCTCTAACCAACTGAGCTAACCAGCCAGCCCCACAAAATTTTTGGAGGACCCTCATACTACTATTTTCTATTTTCCTTTGATAAATACATACATAAATTTTCAAAGTTAAATTCAACTTCCACTTTTCCAATTCCTACTTGTCATAGCATACAATTTTTAAAAGCACTAAAATTTGCAGTTAAAAGAAATGGAGTAATCCTTTGTTAAAGTTGCAATCCATGATGGTGGTTATTAAGTCAACATAAGACTCTCTGACACCTGGTTAAATAACTCCAATTTATTTTTATTTTCTTCATGGACATTGACAGTGACCAACTTGTAATCAAGTTGAGTTCAAAAAATGGCTGTTTGTAAACTGGTAGTCTGAAAAAAAACTCCATATTTTCCTGAAGAAACTATATTAAAAAAATAATGATTAGGCACTCAGAAAACCCACAAAATCCAATTTAACCTATAATGTGGTGAAATAATACCAATAGAAGCACTGAGCTCCCAAGAGAAAGCAAATGATGGGCTCTGCACTATGGTGAGGGTGGGGAAAGAATCCTGAATAAGGCTCTTGGTAGATTCAAGTGGCAATGGTCAGTGGGGAGACTTGGGGGTCAGTTACTAAATATATATCTGATTATGATGGGCATTTAAAAGTTATGAGCTCTAGCTGTACAATTTTAAAAATTTAACCTCTCTTGAGATTCTCTCCAATTTTGAAGAACTAACAAAGAAATGGGAAAAGAAAAGAATTTTTCTTATGTTATTTTATTACAATTTATTTGATATGTCTGTATTTAATGAGAAGACAGGCTTGCTGTTAGAAAAGGATGGAGATCATTTTACTACAGAGGGCTGATCATATTTGGGGGTTTAAGAGTATGTAGAAAGGTATACTTCACATCCACCAGGATGATATAATCAGACAAGTAATAACAAATGTTGGCCGGGATGTGGAGAAACTGAACCTTTATACATTACTGGGAGAACGTAAAATGGAGTTGCTGCTTGGAAAAGGTAAATATAGAGGGACCATATGACCCAGCAATTCAAACCCTAGTTACATACACAAGGGAAATAAGAACTTGTACACAAATGTTCATAGCAGTATTATTCACAACAACCAAAAATTAGGAACAAGCTAAATGTCAACCAACTGATAAATGCATAAATAAAATGTAGAAATATCCATACAATGAAAAATTACTCAGCAATAAAAAGTAATGAAGTTCAATACACGGTACAACAAAGATGAACCTTGAACATTATTCCAAGTGAAAGAAGTCACTAGAGATCACATATTAAATGATTACATTTCTATGAAATACCTAGAATAGGCAAACCCATAGAGACAAAAGTTGATTCATGGTTGCGATGGAGGGTTGGGGGGATAAATGAGAAGTGAGTGCTAACAGGTATGAAGGTTCTTTTTGGGGTGATGAAATGTTCTAAAATTGACTGTGAATATATTAAAAACCATTGAATTGTACATTTTAATGAGTGGATTATATAGCATGTGAATCATACCATTTTTAAAAATTAATTTACTATTTTTTTTACATTCTAAGATGATGTTGTGGAGCAGCTGAAGGGGAGAGGGAGAGGAGAAAGGGGAGGAGGATGGGATAGGAGGAGAGGAAGTTGGGGGGGCATGGTTGAGGCCTGTGACATCCCCTTCATTCTGGCAGGGGAGCCCTGGGTGCTTCCAGTGGCGGCTCATTGGTTATTACTGGGCTGGATGCAGATGTTGGGGTAGTGTGACTGAGGCCCTCAGCACTCCCCGACCCCAGCTTGGGAGTCCGGGGCACTTCTGGTGGTGGCCTGGTGGTCGTCTCTGCGCTGAATGTGGATGTTGAGGTGGCATGGCTGAGGCCCTCAGCCCCACAACGTCCCAGCTCAAGAACTTGGAGTGCTTCAGGTGGCAGCCTGGTGGTAATCGCTGGGCTGGATGTAGATGTCAGGGGGATGTGGCTGAGGCCCTCAGCTCCCCACTGCCCTGCACTGGGAGACTAGGGCACTTCTGGCTGTGACCTGGTGGTTATCACTAGGCTGGATGCATATGTTGGGGTGGCATGGCCGAGGCCCTTGGCCCCCACTGCCCCAGCTCAGGAGCCCAGGGCACTTACAGATGTGGCCTGGTGGTTGTCGCTGGCCTGGATGTGGACATCGGAGGGGCATGGCTGAGGCCCTTGGCCCTACCCCTACCCTGACTTAGGAGCCTGGGAGGCTTCTGGTCCTTCTAGGTTTTATAGGTGTTCTTTGGTGGTGTTAGACCTTTACTGGTTAATATCCGAACTTTGTCTCTGACCTGTGGCTGTTTTGTTTTTTCTTTCAGTTCTGTGTTGGATTCTCAGCTGCCCCTACCACTTAAACTGCACTGAAACTAATTTGCTGTCCTTTGGTTACTTCTAAAATGGAGGAACTTCCTGTAGGAACCAGCACTTGAGCTCTGTGGTTGAGCTAAATTGTTGCTTTGCTGCTGATTCCCTGGAGAAGGCTTTTTGTGCAGCTCAGGTTTTAATAGTTGACCTTGTAAACACTTCTAGGTCTTGGGAGGTCTGGTACACCTGGGTTGTGTGGAAACTCTGGTCTAGGCCTGAGTCTTTTCAGCAAACTGTACCCCCTGCAGTTCTATATTCCTGACCAGCCTCCACTGAGTGGTCCTGTGCTGACTGGGGTGCAGATCAGCTGTCCATGCTGTGCCCCAGTGTTCCCCCGGTGGGCCTGTCTTCCCCACCACCCATGCCGCAAACACTTCCCATGGGACAGGCCATGCACAGGTCCCTTACAATAACTGACCAGCCTCCGAGTGGCTCCTTTTTTCAGTTGTCTGTGGCCCCTCATTTGTATGTGGATCCACAGGAACACTGATAGTGGTCTTCCTGGTCTGGGGACCACCAAGTCCCTCTTCTCCCCTGTAGCCTCCAAGCAACTTCATACAAAGGGCACAGCTGCGGCTTTTGCCAGTTCTTGCTCAGTGTACTCACCAGGGCCAGCCTTAAAGTGGCCAGGGCTTGAAATAGTTGGAGTGGTCCTTTCTGTCTCTCATTGTGGCTTCTCCTGCCTTCACAAACTCTGTAGGTCTCTCCTCGTCTTACCCTGAGCTCCCGCAGCCCCAGCTTGGCTTTTGTTGCTTTTTAACAGTTTTAATTGGTTGATTGTGGGAGAGGGTGATGTTGGGGACCATCTATTTCACCATCTTGATCGGATTCTGAATTATATCTTAATAAAGTTGTTTTTAAAAAAATATATAGAAAAAAGAATCCTAGACTTTCCAGGTTATCTGAATGTGCTGAGAGCTTTGTGAAAACTAAAGTAAGTGAAAATGACTAAGTTCAACAGACATACAAAGTTATATGAAGAAAATAGTGTAGTTATGGGAGCAAAGAATTGATAATATAAAAGAACTAA